TGGGGGGGGGGGGTGTATCGATTGCAGTAAGTAAGTAGTGAGCTATTTAAATCGATGTGGCAACACATTTAGAGTCAACACTGTGTTTGTTTAAAATTACATTGTGTGGATTTTTATCATGAAGGGTCTCTAGAAGTCTCCGTCTAACTCTAACCAAGATCACACCATTTACGATCCCAGTTTGCTTAATAAATAAAGTGTAATTATTTTTTTAAATTACACGAAAGTCAAAAGTCACTCCTAAAATTCTGCTCTGAAGGACTACATTTGGCTAAGATCCTGCATTTCAGATAAATTTAAATAATTTACGGAGAACAAAAACCCAGGCAATAGCACAGCTGCTCAACCCTGCAGAGAAGATTTCCAATTTTATAATGTGAGTCACAGATGATCCACTCTGAATAAGCTGAATGTATTCTCACATCTCTGTTGTAAACCACAATGAATGAGGAGGTACACGATGTTTGCTCAAGACAAGATCACGCCAAGGTGTGAACTTGAACACCCATCCCCCAAACATGTTGCACTTACTGTTGAACCCTTTGCCTCATGAACTACAACACACATTGTACTGTAACACACATTGTACTGTAACACACATTGCACTGTAACACACATTGTACTGTAACACACATTGCACTGTAACACACATTGTACTGTAACACACATTGTACTGTAACACACATTGTACTGTAACACACATTGTACTGTAACACACATTGGGTGGGTGTGGGGCCTACAAGGCCGCATCAGACGGGATGACATCGAACTCTGAACTCAACACTGTTTCTTGTTTCTGTGATCATCACTCATCACAGCAGTAAATATCTTTCATGTCTCTACTCCCAAAACTGCTTACAGACTGAATATATTTTTAATTGGTGCGGTCACAATAATGGTGCATGATTACAACAGAGATGAGGGAACTTGGTCAGAGATGAAAAGCTATTTAAATTTTGGGAGGGGAGTGATTAACGTTTGAGACTCCCGATTGGAACAATGAAAATGGTGTATATATGATAATATATATGCCTCCTGCCAACATTGTGATTAGCCATCAAGGTGTTTACCACTCTTTGCTCACCAAAAGTCATCATAAACCCGCCTACTAGGGGTCATGTCAGTACACATACATTTCAAATAAGGAGAGATCAGATCATTCTACTGATTGTGGGCCTGGCCATGATTCACCCTCTGATGAATCAGCTTAGATCCTGAATTTTCTTTGTTCTCAAGCACAACTGTATAATTTTGGAAAACATTTTCGTCTTTCCAGGCCTGAAAATGAAAGTAGTGGATGCGAATCAGGTGTATCGTCAGAGGCGCGGACCTTACACAGGCAGAACATCCAAAGGCCAGTGTACAACAAAATAAGACCGTCTGAAAATGAGAGTCCTTACAAACAGGTAGGGTGTAGTACAGTCTAAATGTATAAAAGGGCCACCCAACCAATGCTGAGGAGAAACGGTATGGCTGTCTTAGACTGGTGGATGTCTTTTACACAGTGTCATTATAATGTTTTTTAATAACTTAGGGAGGAAATGGAAAGTGGCTATTTGTACAAGGGATTGTCTTATACTGGTGGCAGTTACAGCTGGATTGACTGTATTATATATTTATATCTATCTCTTTATTTGTTTTATAAGTGATTTAAACAGGCTTGTTCTGTTGAAATGGTAACCATTCTTTTGTTTTGTCTTATGATGTACATTATTATCCGTAGTGTATCATTTGATTCTTGTAGAGGTCTCAAAATCAAAGTCTTTTTTTTTTTACGGGTTAGTCGTCTATTGGAATAGATTTTGGAGTCATTAGTATATTATATGTGTGCAATGAATGCAGCACTAAACCTGCATTTTTTGCTTTAAAAAATTCCATGTGTTCCAGTTTTTGCATTCCTGACTGTTTTGTCTCACCAGGTGCACTCTGGAAATAGGCCAAAATATGAACAAGGTCAAACAGAAAAGAAAACAGCTTCCAAATACCTTAGTGTTGTCTGGTGTAAAATGTCCAAAAAGAAGCACAAAAAGTGGGAAGGAGATGGTAAGTTTTTTCATTTTTTAAAAAAGAATCAACTTGTCGTAATTTACTTTCTTGTGAACAGAGTTATATTTTCTACTGTAGCTTAATTATTTTAGAAGTTGAATAAATGTCATACAGAATTTATTTTGACTCTTTCCAAGTGGTTTTTCTTTATTCAAAAGTATTTTGTATTGTGCTAACTAAAATACTATCATGCACTTGTTCGAACTTGTCTTCAAATCTTTTTATTTTTTTTTAGATTTCAGTTTTTCCTTGCTTCAGTATTACTAAGTTACCGACTTCGTAAATTTCCTTCAGTTGTAAGTGACTAAGGTTCTTATTCTCAGCTGAAGCAATGAGGTCTGTAGTCATAAAGTTGAGAGCGAGAATTGCATCAGTCACTGCTGTAACCCATTTGTTTTAAACATTTTCTTTAGTATACGTTGAATCTTTTCACATATTTGTACTTGTTAAAAAAAAGGTTGGTCCACTTTGGTTTTTATTAGTTTTTCTTAACAAGAAAAAAAACTATGAAGAAGTTTTTAAAAATACAAATTTAATGCGATTGTAGTTCCATAGGAGTTTCCAGACTATACCTTTGCCTTTCATCTAATTTTATCCACCCCCCCTCCCCCCACCACCTCTTGTCTAACTTGTTACAGCTGTTCTGGTCACCCACGGTCGGACGGCTTCCTTGTACGACATGGAGGGCAAAGTGTGAGTTCTTTTTGTCATCATGTTCAATGAATATGAATGGATGCAAGGTCCAAATGGTAAAATTGTCGCTCTCCTTAGTTGTGTTTTGTTGATTTAAGACACCTGTCCTCAGCCAGTTTGGTACCTCTGTATTTATGTCTCATGAAAAGGGCTGGGAGGGGATCCTTTCCCATTGCTGCCCGGTGACCTTTCAAATGCCGACGGAAAGCGCAGTTATATTCCCTCTGGTAGGACTGCGTCAAGCTAGATGTCGACATAGTGATATGAGCACTGTGCGTCTTGAAAGTCAAAGATGCTGTATTATTATGTATGATATAAGATAAGATAATACTTTATAAAATTTCCCTCTGTGATAATAAAGTATTGATTATCTTATTTTATCTTATCTTATCTTATATTTTTCTAGATTCTGGAGCAACACTATGCTTTCTCCTTTGCAGTACTTTGATATCATAATCCTCTTTGCTCACAAATAAACACAAAGTGAAAGAAGAAATCTGTGTCATCATTTAGTGCTTGTATTTGTTTGCAGGATCGCCAAGGGTAGCGGTTACAAGTCGGCTGAACTTGATTCACTCAAAGAAGATGAAACACTTTTTGTCGGTGGGAAAGAAATACAGGTGGGTTTTTCTGGATATTGTGGTAAGTATTTTACCTACCCGTGTAAATGCTTCTCTTTTTATGCCAAGCATGTTCATGTATGCTGGGGAGGAAGAGGGAGTGTGATAGTCTGTGGAAATCAATTTTGTTCTCAGGTCGCACAATGAAATTAACTTTTCCTGCAAAAGTTATTAAATTGACCCTCTTCATAATACTTCAATGCCTCATAGATAATTTATAATCCATCATCAGAAAGTGTTATAGCCACATGATATCTGGCTGGATGGAAAAACATGTCTGAATACGTCTAATTTTTTTGCCAACTCTGTGAAAAACTCATACCATGAAATTACTGTGTTTTATTTTGTATTTACTATATGTGAGGCAGCGTGGTGGAATCAGGCTCTCGTCAATTTTTGGGCATGTAGAGTTATTGGTATCATCTTAAAGCTTGTTTAGTTGTCTTTATTTGTATGAAAAAAAAATCCATTTATCTTGAATACAAGTCGAGATATTTGTGAATGAAGGAGGTCTGGGTCACCTATTTTCAGAGGCAAAATTAGTGAGAAAATGGCCGTCAAAGATTAGTAATTTCTTTAGCTTAATAGTCCTTGGTAACTGAAAATTTAAATTTTTGTGCCTTTAATCAGCGTTTTTCAGAAAAATCCACACAGAAATGAGTTATTTATTGGGCATGAAAGGTGTTGAGCCAAAAAAGAAAAATTTGATAAAAATTCACAAACCTGCAAAAAAATGCAGGTTTCTTCACTTTGATTATTTTGACGAGAGCCTGATTCCACCACGCTGCCTCACATATGTCTTTGGGTCTTTTAATGTGTTTATTTGATATAACTTGTCAGTTCAAATATTGTATTGTTGATGGTTCGCGGGTGCTTTGATTGCACTTGATGGGCAAATCATAAGGAGTCAAGCTGATTTTGCTGTTTATCTGAAAGTAGATTCATTTGTCGTATTTATATCATTTATTATTCCTTATTTAACAAACTTTTGTGTCTGTCCAGGTGTTGTCGGAGTTGACCGAGGAACAATTCAAGTCGGGAAAATGTTTCTCAGCCGGCTCTTGCTCGGCTGAAGCTGTTGTGTCCAGTGTGAAGAAAAATCTGCGTAGGTTGATGGTGTGACTTGGGCAATGTTTAAACCTTTTATCAGCAAAACTGAATGTTCTATGATAGTGAAGGTATACCAGTAGGTATAAAAATTCATCCTTATTGTCAAAAAGACGAGATATTCAGTCATTGTCAGTTGTGCGAGATTAATATTATTTTGTATGTCCATCTGTTTACTATTCGTCTGTGTGTGTGTCTATGTTTGTAAGTGTGTAAAAGAAAGAGAGAGAGAGAGAGTAGATGTGTGTGTGTGTGTGTGCGTGTGTGTGTGTTGATGAGTGCATGTTCCTGTGTGTGTTTACCATGCTGCAGCAAATTTCTCTTGATGGAGATCAATAAATTGTTGTCTTCTCTGAGCTTAACGTGAGCTTAACGTACAGTTGTCTTCTTTTAACATTTTCTCGTCTGTCCATTTCAATGGGATTTTGTTTGTTTCTTTACTGTGATATATCGCTACCTTAGAATTACAAATTTCTATCTGACATTTTTGCCCGTTTTGAGTCACTGAGATTGTGAGGTCAGAAACCAAATGTACTATCTGCTCTATCAAAATCGTAAGATTGTTCAGTCGTTGT